ACGTTTCTAAAGAATTCGCTCCATCTCTATACTTACTTAAACATGAACTATTACTAAATGGGGCCTCATTTTGTGCAGCCTTGGTTTAGAGGAAGGTAAAGGGTGAGGAAACTAGTTTGGCTGGAGCTAAGTGAGTGAGGGGGCAGTTGGGGGGGTGGGATGGGGACATTTATAAGAAGTTTGGCTTTTTCTCTGAATGAGGATTTTTTTTTTTTTTTAAGAGACAGGGTCTTTGTCGCACGCTGGAGTGTGGTGGCACAATCATAGCTCACCGTGTAACAGTGAAAGGGAGACTCAACGTAATTAGCTCCATTTTGCTTCTGACCCCCTGTGGTAATATCTTTTAGGTTAAAAACTTACACTTAGCTCTGCACATAGACTAGAAGAAAGGTGACAATTGTGCCTTTTCTAAATCTAACTTCCGGGGATACAAGAAAAGTATATATACCAGTAACAATGCTATGTTAGAGATTTTTAGGAACATCTAGACCTTTATCCTCCAAAGTTTACTGACCAAGAGCAAAGAAGTTTTACAACCTCCTCAGACCCTCACTGATGCCCAGATGTCTTCTGTGGTCTTCAGTTACCTCTTCCAACCTAACACCCACACCACTTCCCCTTCCCTTAAGATAAAAAGGAGCCTAAAGTTCATACTAACTTAAGGTGGTTCTTTGGGACATTAGCCCACCATTTTCTAGTTTTGCTGGCTCTCGGAATAAAAGTTGCTTTTCCTTGCCCAATACCTTGTCGCTTGACTTATTGACTGTCCTGCAGCGAGTAGTATGTGGTATGAGCTTGAACTCGGTTACAACTGTAACCTGGAATTTCTGGGCTCAAGTGATCCTCCCACCTCAGCCTCCCAAGTAGCTGGGACTATAGGTGTGAACCACCACCTCTGGCTAACTTTTCAGTTTTTTGTAGAGACCAGCTACCTGGTCTCCAACTCCTGGCCTCAAGTGATCCTCCCACCTCGGCCTCCGAAAGTGCTGGGACCATAGGTGTGAACTACTGCATCCTGCCTTGGATACTTATTTTGCCTTTCTATCCCCAGACCCCATGGACTCCCTAATGCACCTTGTTTCTTTTTAAATCTACTTAGTTAGGGTTCAGTATTTATTACTTTATGAGAGTCAGTACATGATTATACCCTATATCTTCAGCTGTCTGTTCCTGTTTCCCTCCAATACTTTGCCGATCTTTTTGTTATAAGGATTTTGTTGCTAATCACTTAACTTAAGGAAACAGAAAGGGTTAATAAAATAACAAATAGGAGTGCATAATTAAGTTTCCATCTGGTGTTAGAGTTCTTTGAATCCTTATCTAGTTCCCGATTGATTTCCATCAGGGTCAGGAGCTGCAAACTCCAGCAGAGTGAGGCAAGTGATGTGAATGGGTGGAGGGCAGGTACCCCACAGGAAGGGCACCATCCAGGGGGCCTCTTGGGGATGGGATTCCAGAGTGGCAAGAGACTAGCTTTTCACAGGAAGCCAGAAAATTAGATTTCATGTGAAATCTGATTTTAATGTAATGGCAACTCCTTCCGAATTTTTGAGAACATTGCATTAGCTTTTTTAAAAATGCAATTGGCTTCCATCCTCAGCTTTTATCTTTCACCTAAATTCTCTTCATTCTGGTCTCTCCTTTTATGATTCATCATTCTCAACCACCCTGGGGTATGTTGGGGGAAGGCCCTTATCTCCTTAGGCTTTCCTCCATTTGCAGCCTGTAAGTTCTAGTGAGAAAGACACCACGCTCTTATTTATTAATGAGAACTTTGGGCTCTGCGAGAATATTCTCCTTTGGGCAATTCCTGATGACTCATTTTGTTATTTCAATTTACTGACCATTTACTGAGCAGCCCAGGGCTGTGTAGGAGGGAGGCAGAGTTCAAGATTCTGAATGGTCATGTATTGTGTAAATTTCTGTGATCTTCTTCATGTAGTATTGTAGTTACTGACTTCTTGTTGATGGGGCATTTTTGTTTTGTTTCTTGATTCCTAAAGTATTGCTCTTTGCAGCTGGGGTAGCTGTGGTGGTGGAATGAAAGGTTATAGAACTTTGGTAGCTGGGCATGGTGGCTCACGCCTGTAGTCCCAGCTACTCGGGAGGCTGAGGCAGGAGGATCGCTTGAGCCCAGGAGTTTGAGGTTCTGTGGAGCTAGGTTGACACCACAGCATTCTAGCCCAGGCAACAGAGTGAGACTCTGTCTCCAAAAAAAAAAAAAAAGAAAGAAAGAAAGAAAAGTTATAGAACTTTGGGTCAGAAAACCCCAGCTTAAGACCAACTCAGTTCAGGCACTTTCTATATGTGTGACCGTGCAGAAGTAATTTACACTCTGTGTGCCTGAGTTTCCTCATCAATAAATGGAAATAATGATCTTTCTTAGGGATTTGTTAATGTTAAATGAATTAAGGTACATGGAAGTGTTAAAAAAATTTCATAAAGTACCAGTGTATCAAGTTTGAAATTATATTAAAATAAAAAGTTATCAAACAATAACAAAAACAGCTAGAGGAAAAAAGGTAGGAACCTAGGCAGATCTAGGGGTTCTAAGCAAAGAGCAGGCCAATCCCTTCTAGTTGTAGCTGAATCAGTCATTATGTCACTCTGTTCAGTATTCAACTTCCAGAAAGAGGGTCTACTTGGCCTGGCCTAGATGGTAGGGGATGGATGGTAGGCACCTTGATTGAGGTCCCGCCAAGACTGTAAGTAATATAAGAGGTGTAGCTCCTGCAGAGCAAGAGCAGGATGCTGTTGCAAGATAAAAGGAATGGATGCTGGACAGACATAAACATTAACCAGATGACTCAGGCACTTTGCAAAGGTAGGCATCCTCTGTGTGCTTGTGATAATTTGACAACAGACACAGAAGAGAATACTGTTACCAATCAGTAATAACTAATATAATTGGGAGTTAAAGCAGAAAAACAGAGCAAGAATTCTTTGGAAAATAGCTGTGCTTGTCCATTACTGAAGCTTAGCATCAGAAAGCTTTTAGTTACTACCCAAATGCCCATTAACAATAGAATGGTAAATAAATTTTGGTGTGTTCACATAACAGACTTCACAAAATTAGAATGAACAATCTCAACTATGTACAGCAATATGGATGAATCACTTGACCATAATATTGAGCTAAAAAAGAGAAATACAAAGAATATGTACCAGATGATTCCATTTGTAGAAAGTATAAAAATAGGCAAAACTAGTCTCTCTTGTTAGAGGTCAGTGATTACAACCACCAAGAATAGTAAGCAGGGATGAGAAAGCTGAGGTCTGTAAATTGATACCGTATTTGCTAAGTACATTATAATGTTTTATATATTAAAATACATTGTAGGGGTGATGAGGGGGATGGGGGGTGGGGATTCTCCTTTCCCTGAAAGTTCACAGAAAAATCAACTCACAATTAAGGCAGATTAATAGGAGGAAGAGGTTTACTTACTGTGTGCACAGGGAGAATCAGAGAGATTAGCCAGTAGGATCCAGATATTTTTATACTCTCCTTTTAGAGGGGAGGGGGAGATGATGAATATAGGTAATTCTGTTTAGGGGCAATAAATGGTTGCTAGGGAGAATGAAGGGATGGGGGAAACAGATTGACTTGTAAATGATTCTCTTTGGAAATTGAATTAACCTTGAGAGACAAGTATTATATTTAAAATGATGTGGGCCAGGTCTGGTTGCATTCTTGATTTTCCTTCCTGCAATATAGTGAGGTAACAGGGAAGGGAGGGAAGCCAATTGTTCTTTTGATGGGTCCATCTGGTTATGCAAATAGAGGGAAAGCCCCTTTCTAGGGCCTCTTGGTCTCTAAGGGCCTTTAATTCAAAATGCTCTTTATACCAAGGAGTCATATTTTGAGGTGAAATTTCCTGAGGTCCTTCACATCCAATTAAAAAAAAAAAAAAGAAGTCAGCGATTACCTTGGAGGGCTTAGAATTGTGGCTGGAAGCAAATAGGAGGGGAGGTTCCTGGGGATGGCCATGCCCTGTGTTTTGTTACGGGTACTGGTTGTGTGGCTATGTTTGTGAGATTTCATTAAACTATATGCCTATGTACATGAACTTTTCAGTGTTTATAAGTATACTTAAATTTTAAAAAGCCTAACTTTTGACAAGTATTAATACTCCCAAATAGATATCATATGCTGAGCAGTTTAAGCGATATGAGGCCATGCTAATGTGTATAACCTAAATGCTCATTTTTACGTCTGTGTACTCTTAGCCTTCAACAGCTTCTATAAATAGGTTGAGATTTTCTGTGAATTCTGTTGATTATGTGTTAACATTTTATTATCATCTTTAAATAAACCAGAGTAAATATTTCTTGACTTGGAGGACATTCCTAATAGTGCTCATTTTGATTAGATAATTTTCTGTATCTGGGAATAACTTTAAAATTATCTTATGCTGGATGCTGTGCACAGGCCTGTAGTCCCAGCTGCTTGGGAGGCTCAGGTGGGAGGAGCCCTTGAGCTCGGGAGTTTGAGTCCAGCCTGAACAACATAGGGAGACCCCCAGCTCGTAAAAGAAAAAAAAAAGAAAAAAATTATTTTATAAAGAACTATAATGTGTCTGGTATTTTTACTTCCTTGACTTGCTGCTATTTTCTTTAACACACAAAACCCCACAGAGCAAAGACCTATTTTTGCCCAAAATTTAAGGTAAAATAGGATTAAGAAAAAGGAAGAACAGTAGATGCCCTTTGAGTTACAGTTTTAACTCACTTTATAGGAATACTGTTCCCCCACTTTGCATGCTTACTTTTGCTTACATATAATGCAAGTGCACGTGGTGAGATGTGTCATCCCAAAGACGGCTTCCTGGGAAGGCAGGCGATGGTCGGGAAGCGTAGGATGCAAGTAGACCTGTAATTTGGTAGCATGGCTCTCAGCGTACACAGTATCATTAAACTACAGTTTATACAAACACACACGTAATGGCGGCTCCTTTATCTCTTTCAAGAAAAGTGATATATTCTTGGTTCGTTTCGGGTAGATTCTGCCGCTCCTGTATCGCTACCAGTCTAAAGAATAATAAGTGGACCTGTCCATATTGCCGGGCATATCTGCCTTCAGAAGGAGTTCCAGCAACTGACATAGCCAAAAGGATGAAATCCGAGTACCAGAACTGCGCCGAGTGTGACACCCTGGTATGTGACCCTGCCCATGTTCATGGTTACCAGCTTAGATTCCTGAGAAAATGGTCATTTCCTCTCTGCTTTTGACCCCTTCCTACCCACTATTTTGAAAGTGTTTTATCTCACCCTCCCCGCTTCCCTTTCTCCAATTTCATATATATTGGCTGCAAAAAGACAGACCCCTGAATTCCTACCATCACCCAATTTTTCAAACAAAGGCTGTCATTGACCACGTCCATTTTCTCTTCTTTCTATAACTCTGGTGATCTCCTATTATGTGGCCTGTATTCTTGCTGCTCTGTGGCATCCCACCAATGAATAGTTTTGTCATCAAATCCGGTGGCATATTTCCACCTGTGTTATTCTGGACTTTGCACTATTTATCTCTATTGATCGCTTCCTCCTTGTTGAAGTTTTCCACCTTTGCTACTATACTAGCCTGGTCAGATCATGTGAGATCTTAGAGGCCATGTAGAAGATTCTAGATTTTATCCTAAATGCAATAGTAAGCCATAGAAAGAGTGTAAGCTTTAGGGCGCCAAGATTGTTTTTACAGTTTTGAGATATCATCACTCTAACATATGCGTGGAGAATGCTTTGCAGTGGGCAGAAGTGCAATTGGTGTGAACAGTTAAGTGGCTATTATGATAGGTCAAGTGAGAAGGCTGGATTAGGGTGACAGCATTAGTTATGGAATAAGAGGTTGTTTCAAGGTGTGTTTAGAGGTAGAATTCAAGGAAATTGGTAATTGGATGTGGTGGCGAGTGAGAGGTGTCAAAAATGCCTCCCAGGCATTCTGACTTGCATAAGTGAGGCTACTAATATGGGGAGAAAACTTGGAGAAGAATCCATGGAGTTATGTTTTGCATATGTTAAATTTGAGCTGCCAAGAGGAGATGCTGGGAGCACATTTAGACACATAGTCTAGAGATCAAAAGAGAGATTATGTACTAAGCATCTAAATTTTTTTAGAAGAACCTTTCTTGATGTTTATCAAAATTATAGCCCTGTTATGCTTTCTCTTAGCACCCTGTGCTTTTGCTTTATACCACTTATCACTATATGTAGTTATACTTTTGTGATTTTTTTTTTTTTGGGTTTAATGTCATATATTCCCATCAGATTGAGTTCCATGAAGATAAAACTGTGTCTGTCTTATTGACATCTGTGTACCCAGCCCTTTGGAAAGTGGCTGGCATATAGTAAATGCTCAGTGCATTTCTAACTGTTTGTTTAAGACTCAGTCTATTCATGGCTACCTAACTATAGAATTTATACATGGTCTTGGAGTCAGACATCCTGGGATCAAACACTAATTTTCTCATGTACTCTTTGTGATTTTCAGAAAGTTATTATTCTGAGTTTTTGTTTACCTCTTTATAAAATGAGGAAAAAGATAATGTTCATGTTATAGGGTGGTCACAAAAGTAAATGATAAATATATATTGGAGAGATATATATTTTTTATATGTATACATGACTGATGACTGGCTTTTAACAGGGTGTCTGGAGCACAGTAAATGCTCAACATCGATAGCTGTTTGCATTCTTAATAATATATTATTGCTTATTTTTACTTAGTTTGTCACCAAATAAAATTCAACATGCACAAAATCAAACTCATCCTATTTATTCCATCATCCAGTTTTTGATCTTTCCTTTGGTGTCTGCCAGAAACAAGAGCTTCCTCTCAATTATCCTGGGTGGAAATCCCCTTCCCTTTTTCTACTTTCCCCCCACCCCACCCCACCCCATTTCTGATTAGTCACAAGGATTTCGATTTGTTCTTTGAGACACTTTTACATCTATCGCTTCCTTTCTATGTTATCCCTCCTACTAGGAATGCTGCCCATTCCTTCTGCAGCCATTTTAGACTCTACATAGTCTTCAGCGTCCAGGCAGATCTCCATTTCATGAGGCTCGGCCTTAGCATTCCAGTTTCCTGTGTCAAACAGTTTCCTCTACTTGGCCACGCATCATTTTTCCTCTATTGTGTTATTAACACCATTAGAGCAGGCAGAAAGGTTTATGTTCTTTCTGCTATCTCTTACACTGTCTTACGTAATTTTCTGTCTAGACTCTGAATTGATCAATTCATTTGTCAGCAGATAGTCCTTGGCTTACTTAAATTCATGAGGAATGCTTTGTTGAACAAAAAATACAAAGAGAAATACATTTTTATTAGCAGTAATAGTAAAGAGATGAGAGAACACTAATGTGCAAAGTTGGATGTTAGAGGTTGTGAAATACATCTGTTTAAGACAGCTACCTAGATCAATCCTAGTTTTTATATCTTTTAGATGGGTATTTGTAAAGCAAGCATTTTGTTTTTACTTTTCCATTTGCTTTTATTTTTGCCTTTTGTGAAACAATTGTAACTGTTTTCTTGATGTGGTAGATTTCATCTTTGAGGTTTAACTTCCGTAGCTTGGGCAAAATGAAGCAGAGTGGGAAGGCAACCTTACCACAGCTGTACAAAGCTTCCTTTAGCACAAGATCTTATCAGAGTTCTAATGAAACATTTAATAGAATATGTGTTATGTTAGCGACAGATCCCTCATAGTTAGGATTTGTGAATGTATATCTGGAGGAACAAGGGCTCTTTATTCTGCATTGAGGAAAATGGACTGCAAGAGCTGTCTTTTATGTTTGCTGTTAATGGGGCCATTAAGTATGCTGTGTATTAGGAATTCATGTAATACTATTGGATGTTATAAAGCCATGGTATTTATATCTTTTTTAGACTAGCACAGA